CTTCGGCTGAGGGCTAAGCTAATGAATATGCTGAATTATCAAAACTTATTATTCTGGAGTCATTAGATTGCAAGCAAAGTATCCACATGAACTAAAGTTCTACAAGGAATCAATTTGAGATATTATTAACCTGAACTTGAAAAAGAATCGAGTACCTGGGTCTGGTGAGTAAAGCCATGTAGAAGTTAAATCACCTTAAAATCTGTTCAGCTGGAAGATGCCAAAAATCGGTATGGTACGTCAAAAAAGAACCCGCACAAAGAAAGCCCGCAGCAGGCCCGAACACAGCGAAAGAATAGAAAATTCCTGCAGAACGTCAATAATTATGCTGTTAACTGTTACTTCGGTTAAATGATATATAAACATTGCACTGGTGAGGATACCAATCATCCATAGATGTATGTTCGAACTAACCAACATATAACGACGATAACGCTTTGCCGACGTTTTCGTCAATGTACGAAACACCAATAGTAAAGAGGGGGGTGGCTCCGACACCGTGAAGAAAGTGGGCCATACAAAATAGAACAATATATCGGAATGTACCTGGCTAACATGAAGATGGTTTGTTATGAGCTTGATACAAGTGATGAAATTGCAACACACCTGGTTTTGTTTTTCGGCTTCGCAGCTGGCCGTCAATGCCGCTGCGTCGGCGTCAGAAATATTCCATGGTGCTGCAAAGTCACATATATAAATTTATATACCATAATCTAGCCAGCGCCGCCTGGCGGCACTTTGTCTAGAAAGAGCGTGTAGCGAGTTTCCTTCAAAAAACACCCTAGCCGAAACGGGCTTCAAGGCGCTTTGTTTAGTAAGAGCATGTGCGTAAGTTTTTTTCAAATGACACCCTAGCTGAAGCACAAGAGGAGATAAAGCTAATGGCATAGTATTCTTTTATAATAACCCGTGCGGCGTTTCTTCTGTTCGGCGCTGCGTTCAACTAGAGCACTGTTATCACTCTGATACGACTTCGAGCTACTAAGACTAAAGTAGCCTGATACGGCGGCGTAGGGAGAACGTGCAGGAGGTCCCAAAGACATGCCGCCTATCCCCGGAGGTAACAACTGAAGTGCGAGCCATCTCGCTTGATCTGGCAACTTTCCAGTGGGGCTTATATCAATCTGTACCACAATCACAACAACGCTTGAGTATTAAAGATGAAGTGAACAAATAATGAGAAA